ACATCCTGAAGGATTCTGAAATGTGAAAAGGTTGTTTTTTTTTTTTTAAAGTGACTGCAGGAAGCCAAGGATGGATATCCAAGTCGGCCATTTTGATTAGGTCACCAATAGGAAGATCCCAGGCAAGAAAATCCTAATTGCTTCATGGCAATATAGACGTTAATTTAAAAATAGTGAAATTAATCTGGCAAACACTGAATTAAACTCAATCCCTAATATTATATTAAAATAGTGGATGTTAAATCGGTTTGTACAATAAGTCCAAACAAGTTTAACCAAAAAATATTTATTTCTCACAATTATGAAGGGTTAGGGTTAGGGTCAGGATTAGGGTTAGGTTTAGGGTTAAGTTTAGGTTTAGGGTCAGGGTTAGGGTTAGGTTGGTTAGGTTTAGGGTTAGGGATAGGGTTAGGTTTAGGAATAGGTTTAGGGATAAGGTTAGGTTTAGGGTTAGGACATCGTTTATCTTCCGATTTCGTATAGACAGTAAAGTTTTGTTTCCACCTCAGAAAGCTGCTAGTCACATGACCTAATCAAAATGGCCGACTTGGATGTGGGAGGAGTCTCATATCCAAACGAGGCTCCTACAGACTCCAGCAGTCGATTATGGAGCTACAAGGTTTTTTTTGGTTTTTTGGTTAATTTCTTTAAAGCTGAATGTGTTTTTAGAAAGCTGATAGAAGACGGTATTTGGGTGGAAATGTGAAAACATTTATTGAATAAGCTGATCCTCCAGGAAAAACTACCAAAGACCAAAAAATGTGCCAAAAGGCAGATAGCTAGTGCCTTAAATATACATGACTTTATTCCATTTTCCTCCTCAGTTTACCATAATTGTGCCTTTTATTGGATTATAAACCGTTCTGACTCATTAATGAAGTGATGAAGTCTAAATAAACAGACTTGAGTCTGAAGTGTTTGTTATTATTTCTATTTCGACACATTTTTAAGACGCACAAATGAATAGTTTTGCATTAATTAGCTAAATAATAACTTTATTATCCCAGTTTTTCTATTAATCAGAATCAGAAATACCTTAATAATCCCAGAAGGAAATTATTTTTGTTACTGGGTCCATAAATAAAATAATGGCATATACATATATACATGTCTGTACATATATATATATATATATATATATATATACATACACAAAATTCCTCATATAATATAGATAGATATATACATAAAAAACTATATGTAATTAAATATGGATTTCTCTGTGTGGGCTTCTTCCCACCGTCCAAAAACATGAAAGTTAGGCCTATTAATGGCTCCAAATGTGAGTGTTTGGTTGTGTGTCTCTGTGTGTCCCTTTGTTGGAGCTATATACCAAATGAATGGCTGATAAAGCTTGAAAACAACTATTTGGTACGAGTACTATCTTATTCTACAAAACAGACCGACTTTAGTTAGATGCAGTTTAAAGAATTTTGTGTTTTAACCCTTTAAAGCCTGATCCAAGAATAAAACAAATCAGAAATGTACTTTTTTTTGGTTTGAATTCCTTATTTGGCCTTTTAAGAAAATATGTCAAAAGAAAAAACAGAAATACATTTTTTATATTAATAATTTATTACTATGCAATAAGTCCAGATTATTTTTTGTGTAGTCTTCTGCCCCCTGTTATCAGGTGTATCTGATTGTGTACAG